CAATGATACTGTACAGCATTTCATTCTCAGAAAATTCACTCTCAGCATTTTTGCCACATTATGTGTAAGAAAGGATGAATGGATTGATTGCTTTGATATTAAGTTAAATTTATAATTTAAACATAAACAATTCCTACAATTCCTTGCTGTAAAATATGTGTGAAGCACACCTAATTAGCGTATGATGTCTTTATAGATGTGTGGTATGCATATGTAAGTATGTATGCATGCGTGTATGTAATGTCTGCAAGTAAGCCATATATTTAGTTTGGTGTGTGATTAATAAACCATATACTTTTATTTATATCCTTGGTTTGTTCATTTTTTTATTTAATTAAAATAGGCCTACATGAAGTTTCATTAGGCCCAAATTGAACAATGCTCCATCATCGACAGATAACTATGACTCTGTATATTAATGTATTGTATTTTTAATAGTGTGCTTCTTTTTTGATCAATAAAAAAAAAAAAAAAAAAAACAGCATTCGGTGGTATGTTAGCCAATAGAAAAAAATGGGTGGGGAAATGTCCAACTCTTCAAAATTTGATCAGTTTGACATTTCCCTAAATGAAGGCTACGCAATTGAATTGGGTGTGAATACCTAAATATATCCTGAACAATCTCTTGTCATGGTATAAGCAACTGGAGGATTAGTTTGCTCAGATCATTAATGCAGTAGTGTTATAGTATTTTAGTAGTGTTTTGCTAACGATCAGATTATTCTGTTTTAGTCTAGATCTACCAAAATTTATCTTAATGTTTATTCTTGACCATATTTCTCATGAGAAAATATAGCTTGTAATCAACCAGGCATGAGCGAACCCATTTGCCCGACGCCCAGGACAAGTGCTTTTTACGGTCGGACAACAAAAATTTTAGGGACCACTTGTCCGTGGACAAGCACTTTTAGAATAGGCTACTTAACCAAGTAAATGCATAATGATTTCACAGTATTTATAAAAAGTCCAACTCTTGACAATGTGCAGCATATTTTATTAACAAATCTTAACACACGATCTGTTTACAAAATAAATTTGCACTGTCTAGTCTATAAATACCAGACATATTTAAAGACTGTGCGCACAGCCATTAGTTGATTAGTTAAGTTGGACGACATGACATGTCTGGACTTCAAGACTAGTAATTACTTTCGAGAACGAATTTGAACAGCAGCCATTAGGCCAACTTCAAAAAATTAGTTTGCACGTGCGGGGAAAGCAATCTAGACAGCCTAAGAACTAGTTAAATTGGGATTTAAAGTAATTTAAAAAATCAGTTACTTCTAAGTGATGGAGATAATGTGCATATAAAATCCAAATCTTGTAAAACTAGAGTAAAAAATTCAGGGTTTAGGGCCAAATGAATCATTTTCCTGTCCCAAAAATTTTGCCATCTTCTCAGGAAGGGATTCATCCCCTCGGCCCATCTTCAGAGTTATATTAGGCCTGTGCTTTCTTTCGTTGAGAGGTAAGCAATTTTATTTATTTTGCAATAAATAATATCAAGATGTGTGAGGCTGTAAAATATCCTCAGCGTAAATTATTGGGCCCAGAAATCCGTTACCGCATTTCGAAAATATGAGCCGATTTCCATAGATATTTTTGCAGAAAATTGAGGCCTTCATACATAGTAGGAACACAAGTGTTTACGATTCTGCGCATCTATTTTTCTGGGGGTTTTCCTGTGCAATTTAAATTTTGTTTGTATCCTGCACAAAAAGAAATACATTTTGAAGTTATTCATTGATTAAGATACTACATACAAGTGCAAACATACGATATGGTGACCTCCTTCTCCAAATAACGTCATGTCAGCGGCTGAGAACTAGTGTATCGTGGGAATAAACTATGCCTGTGAAATTTTTACTTGCAGTTGTCGTGACGACATCTTTCAATCACGAAATAGGAAAACGATTAACATACTCCTACATACATAGAATATTATTAATAATATTTATTTTATTTGAATTTCTCTATATCATACTTTATTGAAATTCTATCAAATTAAATAAAGAACTATAATTGGATTAAAAATAGAAAAACATTTTTGCGTGATCAATGCATAGGAAAAATACTTACTTTTGTTTTTTTTATGATTATTATACTATATAATATTAATAATATTGGGACAAGTAAAATTGTTTTCAGGACAAGTGCATTTTTGAAAGCTTGAAAAACTATAAAATTCCCTCATGCCTGTAAATCATCCTTAAACCAAGGAAGAATAAAATTAAACCAAATGAGTTCAATGAGATTAATTAAATGTTTGTAACAACCATATACACACAAAGGCCTGTTGTTATTTTTTTAAATTAAATGTTATTGTCATGTGTTTTGTTAATTTGTGAAAATATAAAAATGGACATTACAATATCGCATTCTTTATACAGATTGAATAAAAATTATATATTGATATAGCAGTACACAAACAATTTCTACTCCAGTATTAGGACTAACTTTACCATTCAAATATATAAGTTATAAAAGTATATGCCAGCGTTCTACAAACTTTTTACTTCACAGCCTATTTACGATTCTAGGCACCAAGCTGCGGCCCAGCAGCCCAGTCGGTTGAACACAGTTTCTCACATATACAGTTACATGAGTTATTGCCAAGTTCTTCAACAATCTGAGAGTTCATATAGATGCAGGACTTTAAATGAAGTCATGTTTCACAACTGCCACACACTTGCTTCCACTTGCATGCCTTAGAACACACAGGAAGCAGTGTAAATTCACTGTTCCCTGGTTTGGTGTATATCACCACTAAAATCCAGCATTATCGGTGATGAATATATTTGTGACAGAATCAGTAATTTAGACATAGAGTATCAGTGCTGATGGTGTTTGCTGAACGGTATTCTGCCAATGTGTGGCAAGGTGACATTTTGATGAATTAAAGAAGCTTCCACAAGGGCTTTGAAACAGTTCCACATAGCAGGAGATGCAAGATGAATGAAGGGACTAGGCCTATCAAAGCAAATCAAGCGTCCACAATTATAGGTGGCTGCACTAGTACCATCACTGTAACACTGCAATCACAACTGTTAGTGAAATACTTCCAAATGTGTAGCTTAAAGTAGGAACTAAAACAGCCTTACCCTGATCTTGAACATATACTGTAGTAAGGGACAGTCAAGTAGGTAGGGGTAGAATCCATGAGGCAAAAAGGCAATCATCAACAGCCAGGGGAATGTTATTAGGTTTGGTCCGGGCATCTTTAATAATCTAGGCAGCACTGTGGCGGCCATCTTATTGCACTGTATTGTACTTGGGTGGGGTCAGAATTTGGCCTGGGGTGGTTGGATTTTCCCATTACATGAGTCCAGGGGGTGTTAACCTAGCATACCATTAGGTTTCACCATTGTATTATTATTAATAACTACATCTACCCTGATTATTTTTCACTTTGCAGGAAGGCAATGTGGCTGTTACCAAAAAATATTGTAATTGTAAGTCTTTTCTTATTTAATAATACATTTGAGAAATATTATTCTAGATGTAGAATAATACTTAACTGTCAATTATCTATACATTATGAAATAAATAGATATCAAAACAGTTTTCTTAAAACACTTCAGAATGTAAAATATTGTAATTTATTAAAGATTCAAGAACATTGTCATACAGAAAGTTAACTTGCTCGGTAAGATTTGAAAGTTGGAAAAATTTTTTTACAAAACACAATACACATTCAAAGCCATAAAAAATAGTCTTAAAAATAAACATCAAACTCTAAGAAGAATAAAAACATGAAGAAACTTTGAATATTAATTAATAATAATGTAGTGTAAATTTGTATATTATTTCTTGGTTATATTCATTGTTTATTTCAGTTGTTACTACTGTATTTGATTTTACTCCTGTTGCTGAGTGTACCTAATGGTAAGTTTAGTCAACTCTGTAGAGGTTGCATGTCATACTTACTTTTGTCGCTATCATCATGTGTTGTGTAATAATAAATTTCCTCAAATATTCATACTCATGACAAGAACATGAAATATTGCCAGCATCTTATTTTGTATGGCCTTTTCACTTTAATGTCATTGTAGGCCCTTTATGGCCAACAATGTTTTGTAAAGGTTGTATGATATTGAATAAAGGTGCCTCCTTATTAATTGACATGGTCATTGGTCAATTTTGGAGTCACATATTTTATTTGTAATACAACTGGAGCAATTGTATATTTAAGTCAGTAAATAAATCCATACCAAGTAGATAATTATAAGAATTCAAATTTGTGATGATCATAATTTTTCCAAGACAAAATTTCCATAAATTATAAGAATATACATCTCAATGTGGATTATAACTAAATCTTTAATTTTAAAGAAGTACACTTTGACATATTAATCACACAAAAAAATAACACTTTGATTTTTGATATTTACTGTACAGTATATATTCTTTAAAAAATCAAATTCTTTCTTTTTGTTTAAGTTTAGCATATTGTGCTGTAGCAAGTCTCATCCTTACTTACAATTACATACCGTAATTATAAAAATTCAAGTGTTTTTGTGTATGTGTTTTTTAAAGTATATAGCCAGTCAGTTGTAACATCTAATAAAGTGGCCAAAGAAGGTGATGGTGAAGTAGTGATACCGTGTGACTATTCACAAGTCACTAATACACCTTTGTCTGTCATATGGAATGAAGTAAATGAAACTGTAAACATTATTACATTTGGTATTGTAAGTAATGTAGAGGAAGTTAATGGCCGTTACAGCTTAAGAAGAACTCCTGGGAATGCTGACCTGGTTATCACGAAGCCAGTAAGGAATGATAATGAGAGAAGATTTCAATGTCAAATACTGTCAAGAAAGGGAGATTTCATATATTCAGATTCTTCCATTCTCACTGTAAATTGTAAGTATTGCAGATTATATCTCAACATTTATATTCTGTATTGATTACATTTTGATAAAAGTTGCTCACAAAGTTTAAAATTTGTTCTGTAAAATAACTGAATATCAAGTAGATTCAAAATAGATGTATTCATCACATCGATAGTAGAAAATAAATTCGTTCAGATCAGCTTTTTCAATATATGAAGTTGATCATATCAATTGGTTTGGGCTATTTTGACCACATAAAAAAACATTTTTAATACTAAGTGTGTGTAAGAAAAACAAAAACGAGCAGATTGAGCACGCTGCACAGCGCAGTGTTTGGGCGATTTCATTATCCGAAAAGGGTATATAAAAATGAACTTTTTAAACAATCAATCATTAGTGAAACACTATTAAAAATGCATTCCCAGTTTATACATAATACTGTAGAAATAAGATATGCCCACTTTCAAGCATATTCATTAATGAATTTTAACAAGTCTTTGATACAGTATATAGTCCTTATCTGACAAGACTTGTTCCACCACCAGAACTATAGGAGTGAGCTGGCCGCGACTCTGCCAATATTGTTGGCTATGATCACGGTGCCTCTGCCTAAACCGCTCAGCCATTTGGCTCGCCTGATAACGTAGTTAACAGTTCATAAATGCCATAAGCTCCTAGCGAAAAGCGGCTAAGCCCCTTCGGACCCCACCAGGGGGTCTTAACCCCTGGACCCTGACCAAGGCCCTACGTGCCTCCTGGCCCCAAGCATCTGTTTGTTCACTCCGCTCGCGAACTTAACCCGCGCTTCTCTCGCATATTAGGGCTCCTAATAACAGTGAGCGCCAGGGCCCCACAAACTTTGTGACGCCACTTGCCAATTCCCTTGGCTGGCTGTGAGCCCGGGCAGTTTTTGTTCTTGAATGCTTTTGATAGAAATAAAACAATGATGGAAGAAAATTAGGTTAATTTTTTAAAAATATATATATATATATACAGTATAACTGATCACAAGAAACTTGCTTTCTGTTGCTGCGTCAACCTAAACAATCAGATTAGTGTAGACAAAGTTATAACGTTAAAAAACGAGCCCTCATAAGCCAGTTCAAATCCCACTGAAAACACACTAATATCGCCTATGTTTTCGTAATTGAACCAAAAAATGATGTGGCTAAATATTTGAAAGCAAGTATTTTGTAAATTGTTTACAATGGCTATATTTATAACGTTCTATAAACTGTTTCTACCTAATTTATCCGACCTCTAGTAGAGTTACGGATTTTGTAGCAAAATCAGAAGAAGCGCTAATGGTTAAGAGAGGCACTTTTGCAGTAAAGTAGACAAAACAAATTGATATGTTTGGTTAAAATTTTTGGATATATTACAGTAGTAAAGTAAAATTTTTGTTGTGATAATGACAGGATTATAATACATTTTAAAGTTTATTGATGCTCTATGGATCCACCAATATAATCATAACATATTGTTAATTTGGACCAATAGAATTAGAAATTATAGTAAACAAAGTGATATATTTGATAGATCTATTTTTGTTTTTAAATTAATATCAATTAATATCACTAAGTTAATAATGAGTTAAGTGTAACCTTACACTTGTACAGTATTTGTTTTAAGTATTTATTTGAGTACTATAATTTTTATCAGACCTAGATGAGCCTGTACTGTCTGCCTCAGCAAGCAGTGTCTATGAAGGTGAATCAGTGGCCTTGACCTGTACTAAACCTGATGGTGACCCGGAACCTAGTATCACATGGTATAAAGATGGACAAGCACTCAGCACCACAGACACCAATAGATTTACTACAAGCGAAGTTGCTCTTGAAATACACATTGAAGCTGCAAGTGCAGCTGATGGTGGCAGGTATACATGTAAAGCTGAAAGTGATCAATTCAGGGGAAAAGAGGGGAAAACCAGTAATCAAATTGTCTTGAAAATAATATGTATGTGTATATTTTAATTTTTTCTTTTTATCTGTTAAATTTCAATTATTAAAATTTTCATTTCAAGCGTATTGAAAAATAATCAGTTAATGAGCACCTCTTTTTCAAGAAAGTGTGATGCTAATTGTTTTTTGGTCACCTCTTGTTATTGTCAGGATCATCATTGGTGATCCGCTCCGCTAGCGGATCACCTCTTGTTATTGTCAGAGATCTTTTTTTTTTTCCCATTTTTTGTTAGCACGATATCTAAAAATTGGCACGAGATTCATACATGCACGCTTCAACAAACATTTAGCTTGGCCTGGAATAGTCACAATAAGGTTTTCATAGTGCGCAGTTATGCATGACGTCATCTACGCGCAATTTTGCGTTCTTACATTATCGATCATATCAGCCTAACCAATTGCCATTTCGAAGTCGTATTAAGTGAACATTAACTTCAAGTCAATGTTAAATGTAATGTACCCTAATTTTACGCGTGCGCGTCATAACCTTCGTGTACGCATGCGTCAAAATTTTAAAATGCTCGAAATCACATTTAGATTAAATTAGATCACGTTTTAAGCCATTTTGAGCATCTCAAATTTTTTTGAAATTTACCACTACGCATGCGCATTTGTACGCGCACAGCACGTATGGAAGCTAGAAATTAATTTATTTTTGTCACATTTTGGGTTCCTGATATTGTTTTGACAAGTTTCCAATCTTTTCAATCACTCTATGGCTAATAACAATGCCGTACGCACGCATCAAACATACAGTAGTGACCTTTGTGCGCATTTGTGCCGATATACAGTGAAATTTTGCTAAAATCAGGCCTAATTTTAAACAGTTACAGCTCTTTAAGATGAAAGGTGACCCCCAATTTTTATTACATATTCTGAAAGCACATGAGTTGTAAATATGATTTTATAGGTCATAATGCCTGATCGGACATTATGACGTCATCATATTGCCATCTGAATTCAACTAACTGAATATTTTCGATGACCTCATTTTAACAAATGCGCATTTGAGCGTATCTCGCTTATTCTTGATCGATTGTCTTCCAACTTAGAGTATGTTGTAGCTGAGGCAGTTCTCTTTCATATATATTGCATTTTTGGTGATCCGCATCTAGTGCGGATCACCTCTTGTTATTGTCAGAGATCTTTTTTTTTTTATTCTACATTCTGACAAATAACTGTTCGCACGATATCTCAAATTTGCCGAGAGCTACGCACAAAACGACTACAACAAAACATTTGGCTTGGCCTGGAATAGTGACAAGCATTGCAAGGTTACCAGAAACGTGTGACGTCATCTACGCGCATTTTTGTGTTTTTTACGCAATTTATTATATCAGCCTAACCAATTGACATTTCGAAATCGTATTACGTGAGCATTAACTTCGAGTGAAGGTTGATTGTAATGTACACTCATTTTGCGCGTGCGCTTCATAACGCCCGCGTACGCGTGCGTCAAAATTTTAAAATGGTCGAAATCAATTTTTGACTAAATTAGAGCACGTTTTAAGCCATTTTGAGCATTTCAACATTTTTAAAATTTTTGGCACCGCGTGCGCATTTTTACATGCGCGTCACGTACAGAAGTTAAAAATATTGTTTTTTTAATGTTTTAGGTCCCTGACACTGTATTCACAAATTTCCAATCTTTTTTGGTCATTTAGGGTCAATAGCAATGCCGTACGCGCGCATAGAACATAAAAGTACATGTGCGCGTTTTTTTCGACATATAGCAAAAATAGGCCAAAAACATACCTATTTTCAATCAATTATAGCTCCTTAGAATGAAAGGTGACCCCCAATTTTTATTACATATTCTGAAAGCACATGAGTTGTACATATGATATTATAGGTCTTAATGGCTGATCGGACATTATGACGTCATCATATTGCCATCTGAATTCAACAAACTGAATATTATCGACGTTGTCATTTAAAAAAAATGGGCATTTGAGCGTATCTCGCTTATTCTTGGTCGATTTTCTTCCAACTTTGAGTATGTTATAGCTAAGTCAATTCTCTTACATATACGTACACTTTTTTACATTTCGATGACGTCATCATGGTCAAAATATAGGGTTTTGCTTACCCCCTTATCTTTCTTTCGTCAAACCTTTGATGACCCCATAATCACCTTAATTAGTCGTGATTTCTGAATCATATTTAGTGGGTATAAACTTCAGGTCATGGTTAAATGTTATGTACATTATATTTTTGTGCGCGCGTAATAACGCGAGCGTTCGTGTGCGTCAAAATTAATATATACTTTATATCAAGTCTTTTTTTTAATCAGTTATAGCTCCTTAGGATGAAAGGTGACCCCAAACTGTTCTTACATATTCTGAAAGCACATGAGTTGTAGATATGATTTTATATATCATAATAGCTGATCGGACATTGTACGCATGAGTAAATCTTTTAAAATGCTCCAAATTCTTTTTTAACAAACTAAATTAGCGTATTTTGCCATTATCAGCATTTAAATATTGTTCAATCCGCACCGCGCACACTTCCTTATGGGTCAAAGTGCGGCAGATCACCTAACTCGTCCTCAGTGACGAGTTCAAATCTAGTTACTCATTGTGGTTTTATTTGTCACGCACAAGTATCATGTCCACTGATCATCTCAATGGGCACATTACCATTTATTAGAGTACAGTTATTGTATCAACACCATATTAAATGTTGCTGTATCAAATGAACGTGTGGCTTCACGTTTCCTCTCTATCGCAATAAGGACAAATTTTCAGGTAAAGGTTGCTAGTTATTTTTTATAATGTATTAAAAAAAACTTGAAAAAAGTTTCCCATATTAAACAAACCTGATTTTTTTCTCAATTATAATAGATCTTACAGTTACATTTGAATCAAAAGATGGCACTGCAACATGCACTGCAGAGGGTCATCCCAACCCGTCTTCTGTAATGATATACAAAGATGGGGAAATGATTGAGAATGGGACACTTACTGCATCTGTGAAAATTTATGAAGAGATTTGTAAATCAAACATCACATGCTATGCAGAGAATGGAGAAGTTAATGCAACAGAACCACTGAAGACCTGTAAAGGTAATTTAAAATTAAGCCTTTTGCTGCGTGCCCGGTACTACCGGGGGCACGCAGCAAAAGGAGTATATGGAGTATTATATGGAGTAATGAATTGTTGCGAAAAACTCATCTTGCAGTGATTTTTTGGAATTTTTTTTTCACGATTCTGCCGACAAACATGGAATTTTGTCTGTTTTAGAATAGAATGATGAAAATAATTCAAACTATTGATTTTTTTTATTCATTTTATGTATCTTCACCATTATCCAGTCAAAAAAAAAAAACAGCATCCCATAAGAATTTCTATCTTCTTTTGCAGATTAATGAAAATTTTCAAAATGGCCACCCCAAGGTCACAATGCCACCTAATTAAAAATCCAATTTTAATTTTTTCTTATAGGCCAAACTTTTTCCCACCCCAACACACAAAAACAATTTCCAAATAACCTCTTTTAGTCTTTTTTTTTTTTGGCATTTATTTAAAAATAACCTTTTTCCTAAAAAGGCCCAGCAGTGGAAGGGTTAATTATGTTTATGCTACTTTATATACCAAGATTTAACTTATAAGATGTTAAAAGGCAATATTTTAAGTTTTGGAAATGTAATACCAGACCATGGATTTTAGCTCAGTTTTTACCATTTTGCTATAAACCAAAATGCATGTAATTGTGGTAACAGTATATACTACAATCAGCAGTATTTATGTAATTTCTATAGCATTTCATCCAATGGATAGTCTATATCAATTTGCATTTACATTATAAATTTTAATTATGATATTAAGTAACAAGTGAGGGTATGTGTCTGTTTGTCAGTATCAGGTCAACATGGATGTATCTGATAAAATTTGAATACAATTAATGGTTTGTATTTGCTTGAAATGCATGTTTTGGTTAAATCAGCACTATAACTGTATAATTTTAATGTTTATTATTTGTTTTACAAAAATTATATTGGGATGTATAGAGGTTAGTATTATTTGGATATTGAACTGTGTTTTATATATGGTCCAGTTATACTTCAAAACTGATAAAACTAAATAAAGATTATATACAATAACCTTCAAAGTAACAAAAAAGATAAATAACAAGATAAATTAAATAATGAATTAAAACATTGTACCCCAAGAGAAGAGAAGAAACAGATAATATACTTAATTGTGTACACGTATGTATGCTTTATTCTTGTGGCCAAAATCTTTATGCGTTTTAGTCTCGGAACTGAAGAATGGATCACAAATAAAACATTTATGTGTGTATGTACAGGTTCACATACAGGTATTCACAAATTAGCATGAAGAGCAGGCTATTTCGAGGGTTTAAATTTGCTTTATGTGCATGTTTTGATTAGCTCAGCATTATACTGTATAAATTATATTTGTGTAGACCAAAATTATTTTGAACATATGTATGGGTTAATATCATTTAGCTATTGAAACCTTTTTTACAGATTTTGTTTCACTTACTGTAATGTAGTTTGGGGAAACTGTAATCAAACTTCCCTAAAAAGGACACAGACTATTCAAAATAGAACTGCCCGATTTGTGTGTGGTCTGAAGTGGGACACACCAAGCAATGAGGCATTACAAAAGGCAAATTGGTGTCCTCCTTCAGACCAAGGTATTCCTCCATGGGTATGCATAGCATACCTTGCTTGCCTTGATGGCCCACCACTGTATCACATGGGTTATGGCATCACAGAACCACAACCAGTGAACTTCATTTGGGAATGCTATATGCAGCATCCTATCTGGTGGACAAACGTTTCTCACTAATTTAGTATGACCATGCAGACCACCAGGGAGGAGCATTCTTGTAATCATATTTTATCCTAAAGTATGGATTGGCTTGTTGGCTATTACAAGTAGCAGGTACTTTAAAAACATAGTAACATAATTATACACTCACAAACCTAGTGGCACCATGAATTGCACATCACAACCAGAATATGTAGTAAAACTGTTATTAAAAAAAATACATATAGGCAGAAAAAGAAATCATTGGCAATTTCAAAGGGTTGTTGGTGGGGGGGGGGGGGTGTTGCTCCTCCTGAATTTTGAAAAGTATCAAAATTTAAGTCTGACATTTCTGACCTTCTAGAGGTACCGTAGCCATAAAATCTTGTACTTCAGCCCCAACCATAGTGGGCCTGAGGTGGTCTATTCCATCTGAAAATGTCCCTAGGGCCCCTCTTTTTTAAATTCCTGATCTGCCACTGAGTATTTCATGTCCTTTTCAATGAACATTGCTGCCACCTAAGCATAAAAATGTTAAATAACCACGAACTCGCTGTAAGGTCACAGTATGCCAGACTAGTAATTCCACCATCAAGTTTTCTCCTTATAGTATCAGCCACAGCCAGACTTTTCAGCAAATTTTAACATATTTCCAAAGCTTGTGGAGTGTGTGTATGTGATCAGATTGACATGTAGTGAATACTACAAGGACTACAAACATTTTAGCTTTACCAAACACTTCGTTCTAATCACAATCTGTGACCCGTAACAGTAAAATGAAAATGACTCGCTTTTGGAGATTTATGCAATTTTGCATAATGAAGCTGAGATAATTGCGATTTTGTGAATGTAAATCAGTACTGCTCTATGCTAATGTAAACAAATAAATAGTGAGATATTTATGGTCCAGACGTAATATAGTGTCCAAATTGTTAGTACATGTTTGTAATCAGTTTAACTTTCAAAACCACATTTCATTTATCTGTAAATCTGGATATTTTCACCTTAGACGAATTTGATCTATTCGTCCATACATTTCACGCTCCGCTGCTGAAGTACTTGTCCATGATTTTATCACCTTTAAAATTGATTTCTGTAACTCTTTATTGTATGGGACCTCTACTATTCAATTAAGACCCTTACAAAAGCTTCAAAACTCAGCAGCACATGTTGTCTGTCTCACTAAACTTTGTATCATGTTTCACCTATCCTCAAAGACCTTCATTGGCTACCGATATGTAAACGCTTAAACTTCAAAATTATTCTTCTCACTCATAAATACATATATGGCTACTCCCCACACTATCTGTCTTCATCAATCTCACAACAATTATCTTCACGTTCCACAAGACAGTCAAATTCTCTCAGGTTATCTGTCCCCAGAGTGCTGCATGTTAGTACTGGCGAACGGTCTTTCTCTTTTGCTGCTCTGAAATTATGGAACTCTCTTCCACCTAATCTTAGATCAACTTCTGGTACTAATGCATTCAAGACCCTCCTTAAATCCTATCTCTTTAATCAATAACTCTTTTATCTTTAAGCGCCAGTGACAAAAAATTATTTTTTTTAACAGGCGCTATACAAATTCTCCAATTTATTATTATTATTATTTCCCCCATCTATCGGATTCTATAAAAAAAAACATGAAACACAGAGATCTTTGTGTTTGGCAGTCAAGCGTTAACACGTCGATCTCCATGTTTGGCGGGCAGAATGTTAATATGCACCAAGGGTTCGTTCGGATGAGAACAGTAAAAATTTACATATAAAACAAGTGGCCTACCTGTTTTCGCAGAACTTTGCTCCGCTCGGCTTAAAAACCAATTAATCTCGGGCATACCCTGTAAAACCAAAGTATTGCTACAACATGAAGAATTATAGGGTGCATTATTCTTTCCTGTCATAGACTGGTATAAATGTTAAAACAAACAGGAGTTCCAACACAATGAAAATTATTTATATGAAGAAATTGCCAAAATGAAATATTTAAAAATATTTTATTGAAATTTTCAGATAGCAGCAAGGTTGATGTAAAAGACAATAAGATTAAAATTGGTAAAAATAAAGTGAAGAAAAGTAATTTAACAGAAATGCATTATTTATGGTTTGTGTTGCTACAACTTTAATGCATGAAAATAACAATAATAATAAAGCAATTAACATATTTTTTAAAAAACAAATTCTCTTCTGTAATCCCCTGTAAAGAGCATGGTACCAGTTAAGACTACATTAGTGTGTGAATAGAGATGTATGGAATAGAATAGAATAGGGAATTGGCTTCGTGGTATCATTGACAACATTTGGTTAGCATTTTTTATTGCAATGCTTACTTGCTATATGCTTTTGGTTTCTATTTTCATTTCACAAGGAAGGCAATACATCACATGTTTTCATTTTGTTTCAATTTCATTATAGCTATATTAATACTTGTTTTGTTATGAACAGACGTTAATTATAAAAGTAGAAATATGAAGTACAAAGACAACTTGATAAAGAATATTGAACATGTCAGTTTTATTTATATTCTTTTTAGAGCCATATATTCAAAATTTTTAGTTCATAAATCCATAAAATCATACTGAACCAGAGGCAGATTTATGTTTTTAAAGGGAATGATTATGGGATATAAACTTTGTTCAGGGTCAGATGACATGCTCTTTGAGGAAAATGTTTATGTATAAGCCAAGAGGTCTATACTGCTACATTTTGTTGTGTCTGTTTCTGTTCGGAGATTGTTTTAATTGGTGTTTTCAACCAGTAGAAGCTTGATTTCACAAATTCTTTAATTTACATCGCCTACATACTACACCTCATCCATAGCTGCCTATTAGGCAGTATTTTTAATGCCAAACATGTGATGGTTTCATCATTCCAACTCTAAAGCTCTGCCAAGACTATTAAATTTTATTTCACAAAAACATGTGACATGCATGAATATAGTAATGATGACCATAAAATAGGTACATCATGTTTATAGGGGCATACAGCAGTTTTTTCTTAGCAAAAAAGTCAGTCTTATTCACGCTATTGGCTATAGAAGCTAAGCCGTAATTTATAGACTTTTTCTAATGATTTGACATGTACGCTCATTAAATACTACAACCCTAAGGCTAATAGGCCTATTCTCTTTACTCAGAAAAAATGTGAATGAACATGAAGTCAAGAATGAACAAACAACTAACTGAATCCCAAAATCATTCATAACTTTGTTTTATGATGATGATCAAATACATAGTTTATTCACATGCTTGTATTATCTTTTTCATGATTGTATATCAATCGTATTTTAACAACAAATGCTAAACTGAAGCCTTGTATTTTTGTGCTATTTGTATTTAATATAATTAATGAAATTCAACTTAAGTCAAACAAGGACTATATTTACAACAAAACAAAGTTTGTAGGATATGTTAGTATGTGTGTTTGTGTGTGTTACTAATTGGTAGTCTAATAATGCATATTTCAGTTTTTGTATAAACAGTCTTTTTATGGAAACTTGTGAATTAATTTACAGTGATCTAATGGATCATCTTTCCTAATATTACAGTATACGGCTGTTATTGTTATGCCTTTAATTTCTAATACTGGAATTTTTTAAATTTAAATATTACAGAAATATTGTTGATAAGTAAGTATTGTAAATTAAATTACAAAAGTGTGTTGAAACAATAATTCTAGTAATTGAGATATTTAAATTAAAATGTGTATTTCATCTTTTTCTTTTAGAGGGTTCAAACTCTGCATTGTATGCACTTTTCATTATCCCTGTCATACTGTGGATACTGTTTCTGCTCTGTAAGTTGCTCAGAAATTGTTTCTAATGCAAGACTTTTTATACCTCGTTTCTCTTTAAAAATGATGTTTGCTATAAAAATAAGGTTTGAATATACACATACAGTAAATATGAGGTCAGTATTTACTAGACTTATCACTCTTACGGGGTCCAAGTCAAAGAGTAGTTTAGTGCACACTGAGATTGGTAGAAATTTTCTATAAGAAGTCTAAAAATATGCTAAAGTATATTATTGATGGAAGTTTGAATTTATTTGCATTCATACTTTGAGTATTCTTATTAGAATTCTTGCACACATAACACAACTATTTCATACTTTACGTTGTTTCTCGTGGAGGCAGAGACTTAAAACCTTAATGGTTTATTGGAAGGATGCCGCAACGTACAGCCATAATATTGACGCTCGTTTGAACAGCACCCTTGCCTAATTGTTCTGGTGGTGAAAAGTCTTCTCGGTTAAGGAATATTAACTGTAGGCCCAGTGTACACAACTTGGCTCATGTGCACTTTATTTAAAGAACCCAGTGCATTTTTCACGATTTCTTTTGTACTGGTCCATACAGCTCCTGTTGTGGACAGATGAGAGTAACTGGTATCTGTTTACCGGGTACACGGAAAGACCCTTAGTTGGATAAACAAGTTACTATATGAGCTAGTCCACACCTTGAACACTTTTGAGATTTCAATATAATGCGTTACATGTAAATCCAAATATTACATAATCTAAACTAAAATATATATTTATTAAAAAGGTGTTTCAAATATTTGTTGAATATTACATAATTTTTGACATTTTAGTTTGTACAGTAATTCTGTTAACTCTAAATCAGAATTTATTTTGTTATTCAGATGAGTTTTCAGAACATTATTCACATTTTTTTTAAACTAAAGGGTTTTTTGCAGACTTTATATTTTGCAGGAAAATTGAGATAAAAGGAGAAGATATGACAGCAGTAGAAGGCGACAAATCACTTGCAATGAGTAAAAAATATCGTCCTAGTATTGCACACTTTGAGACTTTCCAGTGGGACTTTGTGATAAAAAATGAAGAGAAAAACAAGGAGGAATCTAAAACACAAGCAATTGGTTTAGCTCCTAAGCTCGGCTTCAAGTATATTCTTCGTTGCTGTTTCTACTTTTGTGGAATCTGTTGTATTGAATACAAAGAAAAATGTAAGTTACTTTACATTGATTGGCTATAGTAACTGTGAGCCATAGTAATTTCTTCAGCTGCCCCTGACCTGATAGAATTATTAGAATTATTCATTATATCTTTTCTGTATGTGTATTTTGATGGTCAATAAAATAAAGTGAAATGTTTTGGTGTTATCTGTAAATAGATTTTCTATCTGAAGTGGTCATAATCATTAAAGTTTAACTAATTTTGTCATCTCTATTTGCTTTCATGATTGTAGATGAAAATGGTGACTTGGAAAAGAAAAGTAAAAATAGGTTAGTTATTAAATAGTATTCGCTCCTCATCTTTTATTTTCGATTTTTATTATATAATTTCCAGATACAACACATAATACTTGTTTCCTGTCCTATATTTAAGTATGTTTTTAGAGATTTTTTGGGTCATTTTTTAATTAATAAATTTTTATCTGTGTTAAATTATATTTATTATTATATTCGAAAGTTTTATTATCTTTTATTTTTTATTATTAAATTCCAACTAAAACTAAGGCAGTACTTTTGTAGTCTGACATTTAATGGACTACCGTACTCGCACGAATAAGCGCCCCGTTTGAATGAGCTCCGATCCCTGGACAGACAGTATATTTCCAACTTTACTCTTTTTACATATGTTTATGCTTAGCCCTACTCCGCTTTTTCTTTTTCCGACCTTTAGCACATTCTCATCTAAGTTTTCAATAAAAAATACAATGGTCCTGCCATCCTGTTAATCTCAATCGGCCGATGGCCAACAAGCTAACCACTACCCACCACCACTAATTGCATCTGCAAATTTGCTATTATGTTGTTGTTGTCATGAGCCATGTTCTCTGGATGATTGGGCTATCTTTTCCGCCTAAGCACCATTTGTAATGTCTTTAAATAATCTTTTTTCATTCAAAAATGTGCCTCTTAAATTTAATAATTTCCCATAAGAACCCCTCGATTTTAATCTATTTCCATAAGTGCCCCCTCAATTTCCAGTCATTTTTCATAAGCGCCCCGTTCGAATAAGCGCCCCGTTTGAATAAACGCCCCTGAGAAAGTGCAAAAAATATTTTAAGCGCCGGGTGCTTATTCGTGCGAGTACGGTACTGTATTCACATACAAAGCCCTCACTACATTCACATATTAGACAAATGTGAATGTTTTGCAAGCAAACATGCTTCATTCTAATAAAATTCATAACAAATAATTTGTGTTCAGTTCTGAGAAAGCAGCATAATTTCAAATGGAATGATTGAAAGTGGTAAAATATTTTTAAAAACAGTAGTAACTAAGAGTGTAATATAAAATGTTGACACAAATGAGACATAAATAATATTGGACTTTTCATGGGATTGATAGTAACATGTAAACCACCAACCTACAGTACTACTACATAATTTGAATTTCTTCCTGATAGATTCTAGTGAAATTTTATAAAGTGAAAGTGCAAGATATATTGTTATGCATTGTTTGTTTTTGTTTTGGTTTCGTAAAATTGAATTTTTAAAGATTTGATTTGCTCTTTTTTTGGTGTGTGTGCATTTTGAATGTGTACTTCCAAATACATTAATGTTTAATTACACTATTTTATTATTATTTTGTACACTACCATTATTATTGGTTCTTTGTGGTAAAGCAATAGGATACTTTGCAGTGGCCTGTTCATTTTTTTCATACATCTGTTATTCTGATGTCATCAAGTTTGTTGAAAATTTTTAAAAAGGCAAACTTGAATTTCCAAGCATTTTTTTCCATTTATTTTTGCATACATGTAATATTTGGTCATGTAATTGCACTACTGCTTGAAAACCCCTTTTGAATCAATATTAAAGCAATACACAAGAACTTAATTACTCACCTCCACCCAAGATTGAATGTTTATTTGGATTTTAAAAAAAATGCCATTGCATTTTTGAGCTCTCCAATTAATGATTGGACTCTAAAGAATGTACAAAAATTGCAACAACTTTTATTTTAGGACACTAAAAAGTACCTATAACATTTCTACCTGAATGAATAATTTAAAATGTATATTTTGATCTCTGCTTAAAAAAAAGTCTTCGTTCACCCCTTGGGGAAGGGGTACAGAATCCTTCATTGGCGAGGATTAGCCAATCATTTTGTCACATAGTACCGGTCTTAAAAAACATTTTTGTAGTTTGAAAGTGCCGTTTACGGGAATCTAGAGGTACATCTTAAAATTTGTTCAAGTGTAATATTTTGCCAATGGCTGCATAGAAAACTGCGTAGAAAACATTTCAATTATTGAGTCCATACAGATGTGTTGTATACCAATCAGTTGAAATGTTTATTCCAATTTTGAATTTTTCCTGTACAGTATAGGAGAAATAATTAAATTGTTATCTTTTTAGTGAGGGTAAACATTATGAGGAACTTGAGCTGGAAGAAAAAGACTGTGAAAGAGGAATTGCTGATGGTGAGGATCTCTGTGGTAACAATGACCCCAATGAAGAAGAGGCCTATGTGAACATTGTATGTTATAGTATATTTTATTGTATATAACATTTAAGACAACAAGGTGAACAGTATTTTAATAATAATAATGTTTATTTTGACTTTTGGAAAGAAGGGTGCTTCTGAAATACAAAACACAAAAAACAAAATAGTAAGTACCTTTGTTCCCTCAATTCTCCCTAACAATGCAAACATTTACCCTTCCCCTTTAATAATATAAAACTTAACATCAAAAGTAGCATTAAAGCATTAATGCAGAAAAGGAAAATAAAACTATTGAAAATAGAAGTATAAATGGAGATGTAGGATATAGCAAGAGCATGGAATTAAATACTTCACTGCATATATTTCCTTATTTTTTTTATATACCTACTGCATTTTCAAAACTTGCTGAGTAACAACAGTATATCATTTTCATATTTTTTTCATACTTAATTTTTTTTTTCAAAGTCAACAGAGAATATCAACAAAAAAAGTCAATCACTGATCTTCATTCCTGATAGAAAAGGTAAACTTGATTCAACTTGTCCCAACTTCTGTATTTCCCATTTCATTATGAACTAGTTTTATGTAAAATGTATTATGGCTTAAATAATAACTGGTTAACTGCTCTTATTTGCTTATTTGTAGTAACTTAAAAATCATTTGACATGTAAAGTTTAAATGTAAATACATTTACTGACTGTACTAGACAGCATCATGCATATTTCTGCACCTGCTGCTTGACTTGTGAGAAACTTCCAGATCTTTTGGTGTGCTTCCTCCACAGTTCACCTATAACCAAGTCTGTCTAGATCCCATTTGATTACATTTTCCATGTTGTTTTAGATCTTCCTGGTCTGTGTTTTCCATGTCTTGGCTTCCAATTGTATAATATTTTGGGTAACATGGTTTATTTTGCATGCACATCAACATTTTCTGATAATGGATGTGCATTGCAGTGGTGTGTCTTTTGAAAGGGATTTCCACATCATATGGTGATCACTTTTCTTAGTCTTAGGTCCATGTGGCCAGGGGCGGCTCCAGGAATACCACGAAGAAAGGTCTAAGCTCCCCCATGGGGTCCACACCCAAATGTTGTTCCCGCACCCTCCGGCTGGGGGAAACATTTCATTGGTCGAGGGAATTTTTATATTGAAAAATAATAAAATTTTGTGTTAATTATGGGATATTTATTTAAAATTTGATAGAAAACCATGCAGGTTAAAGAGTCCCCCTATCTGTGGTCGGAGGTACCAGCACCCTGTCGGGGATCGGAAGAGCTGGCGCCACCACTGCAACCCATAGGATCACAAGAGTATACTGTATATGTTGTTATTTTCGCGTACAGAATTTTTCCCGATTTCCAACTTTCTTGACACTTTCGTGTTTTGGTGTTTTCGCGGACGCCATTTTAACAAAATGTTACATTTTAGGCCTAATGTACTGTAGCTCCGATCACAATCTTTTTTGTTTTACGGAAAGCTTAAAAACGATGCGTAGGCTGCCTTTTTTAAGTTGGCAAAGTCTAGGCACTGTACTAGTAGTAGTAGGGCATAGTAGTACTGTCTCTAGTGGGGCTTAGTAGGCTAGACGTAATAGTACAGTAGATGGGCTTAAAAAAGTGCTACGCGCTACAGCTGTGCTACCCGAGATTTCCGACCTATAACATGGTTTCCCATTTCATTCAGTTTGTTGTTTACAGTACTTCCTGTAATTTGAAATTTGTGGACATTTTCGCGAGTGGTGAAATTCGGGGTAAGCGCTACATTCGCGAAAATTAAACCCTCGCGTAAACAAAACTTATACAGTACAACACCTCGCACATACGGTAATCCCTAAACTTTGACAGCATAAGCTACATTTGTACTAGACACAATTATGACACGACAAGATACAAATGCACGCAGTGTTGAAGAATACAAACTACGTGATAATATATCGTCGTGTCGTTATCATGTCTATTGTAAATCTAGCATTATTAAGGCATGATTGATTTGTACTTTTATTTTTCCCCGATGACCTTGCTAGAAATTCCCCGATAGGGGGTCCAAGCGAGGGGCCTAGCGGTCCCCAGACCCCCCCACCAGCTCTGTCCCTTCATGTGGATATTAATACTGTATAGTAATTTTAATAATTATGGTGATCAACATAAATGAAAATTTTGTGTGCAATTAAGAGAAGTGTGCTAATATAAAATTTTTGTACTTGAGTGTTAGAGAAGACTTTCGGCATTAGTTTACTGTACTGCAATGCCTGTGATGGAAAAATGTACTTATTGTAATCTATTTTAGGTTGACGTTCTTTCCTTTAAATACAAAGTGAGTTATTGTCAAGATTCATTGAAGTGTTACACATTCATATCTCACATTGTGTTAATATAAACAATCCTTTTAAAATTCTCTACCATAGCACTTAAAGACAATTCCATTTTGAGTAATTAAGTTCATAACTTAACCATCTTAAGTTTTCAAAATTATTGACATACTTTAGTATATAATCTTTCTTGTGACTTTTTTTTTATCAAGGGGAACAAGATAACAATTGTGAAACTGTAAGCATTCAATTTGTACAGTTTGAGTTGTACAATTAATTTTATTTGTTTTGCATAAATAAGTACTGTATCTCAAAGGCAAAAATAAAAATGTTAATTTTGTGGTAACTAATATTTCTATCTTGTCAACAGAACTGTTTTCTGTTTTATCCCTATAAGCAATATTCATAACCAATTTATTAAATGGATTTGTTTTTATTTCCTTTTAGGTTATTACACAAATACTTAATTTACAAGAAATAATAAAATCTGTGATTAAAATACTAATAAGAAACCTTTATATATAATAATAAATAATATTACATCTATTTTGTGATTTCATATACATGGATAAACTATTTTGTAGGAGTTCAGGAAACTTCATTTAAACAACAATAGCATTGTTTGAATTTTATTCATTACAAACTCTTTTTACAGAGTCAAATTACTTATGCTGATCTTAATCTCAGCCCATCTTCTCCATCACGAGTGATTCGTACAGATGAAACTACATCCTATGCTGAAATAGATCATGGTAGAAATCTTGCTGGTATTATAGCTCTATTCATAAAGATGCATGACAATGTTTCTGCTTTAGCTCATTTTTGCAATATATGTTTAATATTACAAAATTTGTAAATAACAAACTTAACATATAAAAATTGAGTATTAATTTAATCAATTTAGTTCAATCTTTTATTGCTATGAAATCTGTGAATGGCTATTACCTGCTATACAGCTTATGCACAAAAGTATGCAAAATAAAATACCAAAAAATACCAATATGCCTAAAGGAACTATGCATCAAGGGTAGGGACATTACTCCACTAATGTCCCAGTGACTCGCATACCCCTCTCTAATTAAACTGTGAATCCAGGGATAGTGAAGTTACTTCTAAAGGGCCTAGTACCCAAACACACCACCCTAAACAAACTATGCATCCGGGGGTGGAGACGTTAATCCTCTAACGTCCTAATGACTTAAATATCCTGGTACTTTAAACAGGCTTGAAATAAAAGTCTTTGTTTTATTTCACTTCATCATTCAAATCAATAATAATTTTAATTCAATTTGAAAATAATTATCTTGCATTAAAAAATGAATGTTTCAAATCATTAAATATTTCTGCAGTTATGAAAAAAAAATTATGTTAGATATTTTGTTCAAGATCAAGAACATATCCAGGGCAATAAGGTATAGAAATTACCACAATCCTGCACCCACATATCCCAGCTGATTAAGACAGCATTTTGTTGTGCAATAAGAGTCTTTTATGAACACTTCAGTACCGAAAAAAAGCAAGACAACATTTAACAGATACATTAATTAATATATATAATATAAAAATATATACACATGGAATTAAACAAGGTTGAACAGGATGGTGGTGTATGAGCTTGTTGGCCATTAGCCGATTGAGATTAGCTGGAAGTAGACAAATGTAAGAAGAGGAAAGATACTGTCCAGGGAGCTCTCATCTGTCCAGGAGAAATATCCTTTTGTTGAAATTGACATAATATGAAAAATGTGAATCCACTGCGCAGCGCAAATCAGTCTCAGGATTAGTACGGTATATGTAATATATGTATCATGTATGGCGATAATAATTAAATCTTAAATCTTGAATTAAGTCTACAGAAAAAAGACCCTGATTTGCTTGTGATTTCTGCTCTCCTGGACAGCTAGTGTGTATAACTAGTGCCACTTATTTTCCATATTTTTTTTCTATTGCCTCAACTACAGTGCACTCTCCAATTCAAGATCCCTCTAATTGGAGAACAATTTTTTTAAAGAACCAAATAAAAGTCTTTAATCTTTTAATTTTCAAGTCCCGAAGGTGGTCTTAAATTGGAGGGCAAACTTTTTTATTGCTTTAAATTTAGTCTCTAATAATTTGAAAAACTTCTGCTGTAATGATACTTATTATTAGACAACTTTACCATTGACTCGCAAAAGATTGATTTCATAATTAACCCTTTGAGGTTCTGACCTGTATCTCATACGGGATAAATTTGAGTCTCAGTATGCTAGGCCCATATACGGTACAGGATGATTTCTCCCCTTGTTTTAGTAATGCTGCCCTCTGTTGCTCACACTTTTAGGGTATTTTCCTATTATCATAGTAACTCCATTTTTTCCTCCACCTATGGAGGAAAAATTGGCAATTTTTTTTTTTTTAGTGAGTGAAGTACTTGAATAGTCCAGGATAGCGGGATGAGAATAACAATTCATAAATATTGATTTCATAATTATCATTATTATTTCATAATAAATAAACCTGAATACGATTCTGAGTAAAGATTTTTACTAGAATCTTCTAGCAGTGCAACCAGTATTCTAGACCTAGGTCATGTACATGGACCACCCCCCCCCCTTCCTTCTTATATTTCAATATCCCTACCCCATTTTCTCTATTATATTATTATTTCATCAATTTACTAGTTTTAGTGAAACATTTCGTAGGTCCAATAGACCACCCTAGTTACAAATAGGCCTAGGTCTGAGGGGGAGGGGCGTGCGATAGAGGTTGTTCCCCAAATTGCGCCCTCAATGACCTTTGTGACCTAGGGCAAAAAAATTCATAATAAATATGAATGCATTATTTTATTCAACCAAACACATTTTATTTCTGTAGAATACAATATATTCCACATAATACAGTATATGTAACATTCATGAGCATAGGAATTTTTGTAGTAATGTTTACATGGGGTTAATGGATAAATAATACTCTTTCTTGGCCGCTAAATAATTTTGGCGCACATAATCTATGACCTAGGTCAAAAGGTCAAACAATTTTGCTATTTTTCGGAAGCCCAAAACATTTTGCCCAACAATCAAACCAACATTTGCAGAAAGTTAGTGATGAAAATTTGTGTTATTCGTTTTCACGAAATCTATTAAAAACCCCTTAATTGGCCCAGTTACCTAGGGTAGATCACTTGGGATTACAAAGGGTTAAACCTGGATTTCGACATCTGCTTTTGCTGCGTAT